ATCTAATTCAATGCTGTCATGGTATATTTTTCGATATATAACATCGTTTACAGTTGACTTTGTTGAATTTGGAATTGATACTTCTAACTGACCAGCTGAATTGATTATAAAATCACCGGGTAAAATTGAGGGATGCTGTAGAATTTGATTGTTTAAATCATTTAATGAATCAAAAATAACAATTATATCATGAAATACTGGATCTTCAATCAGTGAAATCAATAATTCAATTTCACTGACAGTTTGTTTCTGCAATTGTGAAGTGTTTGAATTTTTCACTTCATCACCGATATGCTTAAGCATATGCATTATCGTTGAAGTATCTAGGAAAAAAAAGGAATGATAATTATTCATAAAATCTTATTATAAAGCCGAAATAATCTAATTCATTCGAAATTGTTTACACTCATTCGTACTCATCATCATATCATCAAACAAATTATTTGCAACCTGTTTATTGTTTTTATTAGTAGACTTCATGGAAATATGGTGTAACGGGTTGATACCGCTCACTTGGCCCCTTATTGATAAAATGAAATAATAAACTAAACAAAATTGAAAGCTAATATTAATAAACAAAAGGGCGCCACCAGGATTTTTCTCACGGTTCCTGGAACCGGTTCCAGAGCACAGAGCTTATATTACAGGGTAGAGAGAGTGGAGGAAGGTGCTGTGAAATAAATAAATCTTTAATTAACAATATCCAGGATTTATTAATAACCAAATTTAACAATTTGCGCACACTCACACTCACACTATAATCAACTTAAAACTATAATGTTAGTTCTCCACTCAGAGATTCATCGATAAGTAGAGAACGTAATATATTAACTAACTAACGCCTTAACAATGCTGCTAGTCCTCTACCCAGAGATTCATCGATAAGTAAAGAACGTAGTAGCTTAACAAATTACTCCCTGATTAAACAGAATGATTTGAAATGATTAAAAAATTTTTAATCATTTCAAATCATTTTTAATCGTTAAAAAATAATTAAAAATGATTCAAAATGATTAAAACTTTTTAATCATTTTAAATGATTTTTAATTATTAAAACATGATTGAAAATGATTCAAAATGATCAAAAAATTTTTAATCATTTCTAATCGTTAAAATATGAATTCATAAAATATTTCTAGTCACTTTTAGGTCCCTATGCACTTTTAGGTCCCTGGATTCACGAAAAACTATTAGGTAATTTTTCTCGCCGATGGTAAGTTTAATTGTTAATAACAATTTAATTGTTTGGACAGGAATTTTCAAAGTATTTCATGATTAGGAATGATTTGATATGATTAAAAATTTCTAATCCTAACGCAATCATTTTGAATCATTTCATAGACAAAAATTTCAAAAGTTTATTATGATTAAAAACGATTCGACATGATTAAAAATTTTCAATCATAACTTAATCATTTTCAATCATTATAGAAGTCAGAAATTCAACGATTATTTTATGATTAGAAATGATTCCATATGATTAGAAATTTTTAATTCTAATTGAATCATTCTAAATCATAACAGGTGACAGGAATTTTCAAAGTATTTCATGATTAGGAATGATTTGATATGATTAAAAATTTCTAATCCTAACGCAATCATTTTGAATCATTTCATAGACAAAAATTTCAAAAGTTTATTATGATTAAAAACGATTCGACATGATTAAAAATTTTCAATCATAACTTAATCATTTTCAATCATTATAGAAGTCAGAAATTCAACGATTATTTTATGATTAGAAATGATTCCATATGATTAGAAATTTTTAATTCTAATTGAATCATTCTAAATCATAACAGGTGACAGGAATTTTCAAAGTATTTCATGATTAGGAATGATTTGATATGATTAAAAATTTCTAATCCTAACGCAATCATTTTGAATCATTTCATAGACAAAAATTTCAAAAGTTTATTATGATTAAAAACGATTCGACATGATTAAAAATTTTCAATCATAACTTAATCATTTTCAATCATTATAGAAGTCAGAAATTCAACGATTATTTTATGATTAGAAATGATTCCATATGATTAGAAATTTTTAATTCTAATTGAATCATTCTAAATCATAACAGGTGACAGGAATTTTCAAAGTATTTCATGATTAGGAATGATTTGATATGATTAAAAATTTCTAATCCTAACGCAATCATTTTGAATCATTTCATAGACAAAAATTTCAAAAGTTTATTATGATTAAAAACGATTCGACATGATTAAAAATTTTCAATCATAACTTAATCATTTTCAATCATTATAGAAGTCAGAAATTCAACGATTATTTTATGATTAGAAATGATTCCATATGATTAGAAATTTTTAATTCTAATTGAATCATTCTAAATCATAACAGGTGACAGGAATTTTCAAAGTATTTCATGATTAGGAATGATTTGATATGATTAAAAATTTCTAATCCTAACGCAATCATTTTGAATCATTTCATAGACAAAAATTTCAAAAGTTTATTATGATTAAAAACGATTCGACATGATTAAAAATTTTCAATCATAACTTAATCATTTTCAATCATTATAGAAGTCAGAAATTCAACGATTATTTTATGATTAGAAATGATTCCATATGATTAGAAATTTTTAATTCTAATTGAATCATTCTAAATCATAACAGGTGACAGGAATTTTCAAAGTATTTCATGATTAGGAATGATTTGATATGATTAAAAATTTCTAATCCTAACGCAATCATTTTGAATCATTTCATAGACAAAAATTTCAAAAGTTTATTATGATTAAAAACGATTCGACATGATTAAAAATTTTCAATCATAACTTAATCATTTTCAATCATTATAGAAGTCAGAAATTCAACGATTATTTTATGATTAGAAATGATTCCATATGATTAGAAATTTTTAATTCTAATTGAATCATTCTAAATCATAACAGGTGACAGGAATTTTCAAAGTATTTCATGATTAGGAATGATTTGATATGATTAAAAATTTCTAATCCTAACGCAATCATTTTGAATCATTTCATAGACAAAAATTTCAAAAGTTTATTATGATTAAAAACGATTCGACATGATTAAAAATTTTCAATCATAACTTAATCATTTTCAATCATTATAGAAGTCAGAAATTCAACGATTATTTTATGATTAGAAATGATTCCATATGATTAGAAATTTTTAATTCTAATTGAATCATTCTAAATCATAACAGGTGACAGGAATTTTCAAAGTATTTCATGATTAGGAATGATTTGATATGATTAAAAATTTCTAATCCTAACGCAATCATTTTGAATCATTTCATAGACAAAAATTTCAAAAGTTTATTATGATTAAAAACGATTCGACATGATTAAAAATTTTCAATCATAACTTAATCATTTTCAATCATTATAGAAGTCAGAAATTCAACGATTATTTTATGATTAGAAATGATTCCATATGATTAGAAATTTTTAATTCTAATTGAATCATTCTAAATCATAACAGGTGACAGGAATTTTCAAAGTATTTCATGATTAGGAATGATTTGATATGATTAAAAATTTCTAATCCTAACGCAATCATTTTGAATCATTTCATAGACAAAAATTTCAAAAGTTTATTATGATTAAAAACGATTCGACATGATTAAAAATTTTCAATCATAACTTAATCATTTTCAATCATTATAGAAGTCAGAAATTCAACGATTATTTTATGATTAGAAATGATTCCATATGATTAGAAATTTTTAATTCTAATTGAATCATTCTAAATCATAACAGGTGACAGGAATTTTCAAAGTATTTCATGATTAGGAATGATTTGATATGATTAAAAATTTCTAATCCTAACGCAATCATTTTGAATCATTTCATAGACAAAAATTTCAAAAGTTTATTATGATTAAAAACGATTCGACATGATTAAAAATTTTCAATCATAACTTAATCATTTTCAATCATTATAGAAGTCAGAAATTCAACGATTATTTTATGATTAGAAATGATTCCATATGATTAGAAATTTTTAATTCTAATTGAATCATTCTAAATCATAACAGGTGACAGGAATTTTCAAAGTATTTCATGATTAGGAATGATTTGATATGATTAAAAATTTCTAATCCTAACGCAATCATTTTGAATCATTTCATAGACAAAAATTTCAAAAGTTTATTATGATTAAAAACGATTCGACATGATTAAAAATTTTCAATCATAACTTAATCATTTTCAATCATTATAGAAGTCAGAAATTCAACGATTATTTTATGATTAGAAATGATTCCATATGATTAGAAATTTTTAATTCTAATTGAATCATTCTAAATCATAACAGGTGACAGGAATTTTCAAAGTATTTCATGATTAGGAATGATTTGATATGATTAAAAATTTCTAATCCTAACGCAATCATTTTGAATCATTTCATAGACAAAAATTTCAAAAGTTTATTATGATTAAAAACGATTCGACATGATTAAAAATTTTCAATCATAACTTAATCATTTTCAATCATTATAGAAGTCAGAAATTCAACGATTATTTTATGATTAGAAATGATTCCATATGATTAGAAATTTTTAATTCTAATTGAATCATTCTAAATCATAACAGGTGACAGGAATTTTCAAAGTATTTCATGATTAGGAATGATTTGATATGATTAAAAATTTCTAATCCTAACGCAATCATTTTGAATCATTTCATAGACAAAAATTTCAAAAGTTTATTATGATTAAAAACGATTCGACATGATTAAAAATTTTCAATCATAACTTAATCATTTTCAATCATTATAGAAGTCAGAAATTCAACGATTATTTTATGATTAGAAATGATTCCATATGATTAGAAATTTTTAATTCTAATTGAATCATTCTAAATCATAACAGGTGACAGGAATTTTCAAAGTATTTCATGATTAGGAATGATTTGATATGATTAAAAATTTCTAATCCTAACGCAATCATTTTGAATCATTTCATAGACAAAAATTTCAAAAGTTTATTATGATTAAAAACGATTCGACATGATTAAAAATTTTCAATCATAACTTAATCATTTTCAATCATTATAGAAGTCAGAAATTCAACGATTATTTTATGATTAGAAATGATTCCATATGATTAGAAATTTTTAATTCTAATTGAATCATTCTAAATCATAACAGGTGACAGGAATTTTCAAAGTATTTCATGATTAGGAATGATTTGATATGATTAAAAATTTCTAATCCTAACGCAATCATTTTGAATCATTTCATAGACAAAAATTTCAAAAGTTTATTATGATTAAAAACGATTCGACATGATTAAAAATTTTCAATCATAACTTAATCATTTTCAATCATTATAGAAGTCAGAAATTCAACGATTATTTTATGATTAGAAATGATTCCATATGATTAGAAATTTTTAATTCTAATTGAATCATTCTAAATCATAACAGGTGACAGGAATTTTCAAAGTATTTCATGATTAGGAATGATTTGATATGATTAAAAATTTCTAATCCTAACGCAATCATTTTGAATCATTTCATAGACAAAAATTTCAAAAGTTTATTATGATTAAAAACGATTCGACATGATTAAAAATTTTCAATCATAACTTAATCATTTTCAATCATTATAGAAGTCAGAAATTCAACGATTATTTTATGATTAGAAATGATTCCATATGATTAGAAATTTTTAATTCTAATTGAATCATTCTAAATCATAACAGGTGACAGGAATTTTCAAAGTATTTCATGATTAGGAATGATTTGATATGATTAAAAATTTCTAATCCTAACGCAATCATTTTGAATCATTTCATAGACAAAAATTTCAAAAGTTTATTATGATTAAAAACGATTCGACATGATTAAAAATTTTCAATCATAACTTAATCATTTTCAATCATTATAGAAGTCAGAAATTCAACGATTATTTTATGATTAGAAATGATTCCATATGATTAGAAATTTTTAATTCTAATTGAATCATTCTAAATCATAACAGGTGACAGGAATTTTCAAAGTATTTCATGATTAGGAATGATTTGATATGATTAAAAATTTCTAATCCTAACGCAATCATTTTGAATCATTTCATAGACAAAAATTTCAAAAGTTTATTATGATTAAAAACGATTCGACATGATTAAAAATTTTCAATTATAACTTAATCATTTTCAATCATTATAGAAGTCAGAAATTCAACGATTATTTTATGATTAGAAATGATTCCATATGATTAGAAATTTTTAATTCTAATTGAATCATTCTAAATCATAACAGGTGACAGGAATTTTCAAAGTATTTCATGATTAGGAATGATTTGATATGATTAAAAATTTCTAATCCTAACGCAATCATTTTGAATCATTTCATAGACAAAAATTTCAAAAGTTTATTATGATTAAAAACGATTCGACATGATTAAAAATTTTCAATTATAACTTAATCATTTTCAATCATTATAGAAGTCAGAAATTCAACGATTATTTTATGATTAGAAATGATTCCATATGATTAGAAATTTTTAATTCTAATTGAATCATTCTAAATCATAACAGGTGACAGGAATTTTCAAAGTATTTCATGATTAGGAATGATTTGATATGATTAAAAGTTTCTAATCCTAACGCAATCATTTTGAATCATTTCATAGACAAAAATTTCAAAAGTTTATTATGATTAAAAACGATTCGACATGATTAAAAATTTTCAATCATAACTAAATCATTTTCAATTATTATAGAAGTCAGAAATTCAACGATTATTTTATGATTAGAAATGATTCCATATGATTAAAAATTTTTAATCCTAATTGAATCATTCTAAATCATAACAGGTGACAGGAATTTTCAAAGTATTTCATGATTAGGAATGATTTGATATGATTAAAAGTTTCTAATCCTAACGCAATCATTTTGAATCATTTCATAGACAAAAATTTCAAAAGTTTATTATGATTAAAAACGATTCGACATGATTAAAAATTTTCAATCATAACTTAATCATTTTCAATCATTATAGAAGTCATAAATTCAACGATTATTTTATGATTAGAAATGATTCCATATGATTAAAAATTTTTAATCCTAATTGAATCATTTCAAATCATAAGAGGTGACAGAAATCCACGGAGTATTTTATGATTAGAAATGATTCGACATGATTAAAAAATTTTAATCATTATTAATCATTCTATATTCTGTCAATTTCTCAGTATTTGAAATGATTTATAATGATTAATTGTGAAATTTCGAAAATGATTTACATGATTTGGTATGATTAAAAATTAATCTTTTTTAATCATTTCTAATCATTTTGTTTAATCAGGGCTAACTAAACGACTCAACACACTACCAAAACTGATGGATTTACTCTACTCAGAGATTCATCGATAAGTAAGGGTCGTTATTATTTTTCCAACTTACACTAACTAACTTGTATTAATTACTCTACTCAGAGATTCATCGATAAGTAGAGATCGTTTATTAACATATACCGAGACAAAGCCGCAACACACTCATACCCCTTAACTAAGTAGCCAGCGAAGCACCTCGCACAGAGACTATCGTATGCGAGGGGACGCTGTTAACACACACTCTCATAACCCACACGTCTACACACACACTGAATTTACTTTACTTTTATTTATTAAAAATCTATAACCAAATTCAATTCAAGAAAAATTATTATATTAACTTCCAACTTAAAACAATTCAGTCATCAGCTAGCAATTAAATTACAAAATATTTTCGAGACTAAAAATTAATTCCCAACTGTCCGAACTAAAATCCGACGCATGAATTTATTCAAAATCAATTTGTAATTTTAATATTAAATAATGAAATAAATTCTTATAAATTTCATCATATAATTTTAACTAAATATTCTTGGATTTAATATCCACACCGATAAATACTTTTATAAATAATTTTTAATAAAATAATAAATTTAATTATCAACATAAATTCAGGAACTTAAGTTCAATATAGAAAAATTAACCGCGTAGAAATTCCAGTTAAATAATAATTAAATATTAATTTTTTCAATATAAAAATTAATTACCTAAAGTATATCTACGGGTATATCAGTCTTAAATGCGCCAAATCTCGATAAATAAATTCGTAATAAATAATAATACAATGTTCATAAATAATAATCTTGCAATAAATAATATTAATAAATAATAATTCAATTGTTCATAGAAAATTATCGAGTAAAATATTCGACAAAAATTTGCGCGCTTAAAATGGACGCCAATATTCGTTGGTGCGTAGTAAATTTGACCTCGGGTACGGATTAACTACGTTGTAAAATTTAACCGACGCTTGACTAGTCCGTGAGAAGACAATTAAAATTTTCTCGAAGATTTTATTATTCGGTTTTATTTTATCGAATTGTTAAATAAAATATATGCAACTAAAACCGATTTTTCAGATGTTCAAAAATTATCAATAATCAATCGAGTAAATTAATTTTATCAAATAAATTCTCACGACAATTTACACCACAAGGTTTCTGAGTAGTCCTCGGGTAAAAATCCCCTGGAGGGCCACTCAACACCAACTAACGAATATAAATCAATTGAAATTAAGTTAATTATTGAATTATTACGAATTAAATAATTAATGAACAATTAATCAGAGGAGAAGTAAACCAAGTATAAACCCCGCGGTCCACTCTTAGCCCACAGAGTATATATTGATACCTTGTTGAATATACGACGATCTAACTCACTACTTGAGATTAAAGTCCTAGATGTTGTTGGCTTCTGTCGATAGGTAACTTAGGTAACTACTCCGGGGATCGGTCCCTCTTGATTTCTGTGGCACTCCGTCTGGCGGTTACACTACTTCTCCCCTTTTCACTGCACGGTTCACCTATAATAACCCCCAAACGACCCCCTCCTACTCTCTCTTTAGGCCCGAAGATCGAGACGCGCCAGTGCTGCGTCGTACTATTATCGATATCAGGTGATATATCGACTCAGGGTAATTTTACCCTGTTACAATGGTTAAAAATGATAATTTTTATTTTTCAAAATAGTTAGTTTGAAACGGGGAAGACCGCTCTCTTGGTCGCCCCTAATATTTATTTAGGGCGCCACTGGATTTTTAACGCAGTATCCAGAAACTGGACCCAAGCATGGAGTTATAAAACAGGGTCGTGAGAGATTGCTAGGAAGGAGACAGAAATCATTAAAAGAAATTCATTTTTACAACTTATTTTATTTAACCAACCCTTTACACAATTAAAACCCCTTACAAAATAATTAAATAAACTTATTCCCGACGATACCCTCTTATGGAGCGTCTATATCTCGGTTTCTAACTTACTACCGTTGTACTCCCAACCCAGGCGTCTATGCAAAGGATTCTAAGTGTGCCCAGGAAACAGAGGAGGATACCATGAATCCCTAGGCAACACTGCATTGATTTCTACCCACCCACACTATTAATTTTCCAAACAAACTAAACATTTCCCGAGATTTCACTAATAAATTTTCCCAATTAATATCTGATTAACTAATTTTCCCTTAATTCATTTATTCCGCTCATACCAACTTATTTATAAATCCTAATCTAAATTCCATTTTATCGATTTAAAATTCTTAACTAATTTAATGTTGTGGTCTTAATAATACAATAAGAAATATTTAATTACAAAAGGTCTTCGTATCTTGAATTAATAGATTAAAATCTGACGACAGAGGTCTTAATAATCTGCCGGCAACGTGTTCGTTGCGTCCTGAATTTACAAATTTATTTTACTAAATTTATTTTAATTTTTTTTTTTTTTTTTTTAATAATAATATTATTGTATTTATTTTGCTCTTTTCAGGGGTACAAAAGCGGACCCCCGTTCCGCTTACAAACAGATCCTTTAAACTAAAATACAACTAAAAAATACAGCCAATGCTTAGAAACTACTTGCTAACTTAAATCTACATACAAAGGTTCATTTCAAGCACACTACAAAATTTCCTTCCATACTCTTATCTTAATGGCGAGAAAAAGAAAACACCTTCCCGAGTCGAAATTTAGAGCCTATATAGAACCCTTTAGTCCGAAATAGATCCGACTGAGAGCCCTGTAGTCCCATAGCTCCGATTTTGAACCCACAGGTCCGAACATTCACCGAGAGGTCCGATTTTGAACCCTCAAGTCATTCAACATTAGCCTCTTCATAAATTTTTATTAACTACAATTAAATAATTCATGATATAAGAAATTAAAAATTAAAAATTTCTAGACTGGAGAACAAAATTTTTGGTTTAAAAAAATTTTCGGGTGCCTGAAGGAAGGCCGAAGTTGTATTTCAAATTATCATAAATACTTGTTACAATAAATTTTTGTAATTGATCAAGATTTTTAGATACTTTAGGGATGCAGCGCCACTTACTTCAGCTGAGAAAAAAATTTTCTTACCTTGAGAAAATTTTTCTCGAAAATATTTGATACCCATTTTATATTATTTTAGCGTGCAATTATACATATTGAATAAAAAAAAATGATTCAATATTATTTGATCTTCCCATTTGACATATTAATCAATAAAAATATCAATGAAAATTTACGTCTATCGAGATATTTAATTTTTTGGAGCAAGAGTCTCGGCCGTTCCTTTGGTGAACCAGACTTGAACCAAGACTGGCTCATCTAGCTCTGGCTATTTAATGGTGTGCTAGGCTTGGGTCAAGACGGGATAACTTAGCCTTGGCCATTTAATGGAAAATCTAAAGTTCATTAATCATTAAGTAAGAGTGGGGGAGGGGGCAACATGGACCTATTAAGACAAAAATATTGAAATCCTTAATAGATTTCTCTGGCTTTACAGTTTTTTAGTCCTTCGCCAAGTATTTGACATTAATTTGTTCTGTTTATTGAAAATAAAAAATTAAAAATGTGGGGCACAATATGCCACCTTCAGAAAATGTTTATCATATGAGTTTTTCAAATTGTCTTACTTTTTTTGGCCTTTTACTGAGTTTATGGTATCAATTTTTTTGTGTCTATCGAAATTAAAAATTTGAGAAAAGTGAGAAATCTCAAAAAAATTACAAAAAAAATTTTTTTCAAATGTGGTTCTTTTGGAATAACTTTTAAACGGATTTACCAATCGATTCTAAAAACTAATCAGCTCTTAACATCAAAAAACCATGATGATCGCAGCCAGCCTGGTCAAAATCAGTTGATTCGATAGTTATTTATCGTTGTGGAAAGAAAACCCAAAATAGTACACTTCTCGCAAAAATTAAGAGAACAAAAAAATTTTCGAATTTTTTGGCGATTTTCAACAGGCTGTACTTCAGTGAAAAATGGTCGTACAAGAAATAGAAAAACAAAGATTTTGAAGCTTGGAGACTCTAGTTTTCAGATTTATTGGTTAACAATTTTTCGGAGCACTGGTAGCCATGCAATCCTTGGATAAAGCACGAAGAAAAAATTTTCCAAATTTTTACATTTATTTTTCGCTATACGGGCATGGAAAAATCTTTTCGAGCTAGACCAATGCATAGGTCGCATAGCTCTGTTTATTCAGCTTCAATTTGCTTTTTGCGGGACCCGGATACTACCATTTGTCTTCAAGATATCAAATTTTAAATGCAAAAGGATCCTTTTTCACTCAACTGCCGATATCTTTGGAACTACTGATCGCCCAGCAAGCGGACAAAAAATTTCTGGAAAAATTTACGATACAACTGTTGTAAAGCTGGAATATACTTTCATCACTAATAATTGTCAAATGATTACAGGCAAAGTAAACTAACACAATCGAAGCTGTTATCATTACAATCAGAAAATCATGGAAGTAAAGTAATCATTGAGACTAAAGAATTAGAAACCAATAAGGAACAAAATTTCAAGGAAAGTTTGTCAGATAACGTAATTACTGAAGCATTAGAACCGATC